AATATGATATATATATATATATATATATATATATATATATATATATATATATATATATATATATATACATAGTATATCAATATACTGAATATTCTATGGAAAATATAAGTTAAATAAAATATCTTACTCATCTAAAGGCTGGATCATCTAAAGGATCTAAAGGCTCCTCCTTTTATACTAGATTTTCTACTTCTATATTTTTTTTTAAATTTTACCAGCTTTTCATAATTACCGAGTAAGTTGCTGTCATAGACTGTGTCATTTTCATCTCTAGATGCGCGGTTTAGCGCGGCGCGCGAACGCGCGGAGATATTCAATGGGAGATAACATAAAACTCGATAATAACGCGGTGACACTGGGTCCGTTATCGACGGCGAACGTAGCCGGCACAGGTGAAAGTAAAATTGCGCGAAATTATCGAGATTACGCGAGATGCGCGCCGCGCCGATCGATCGGTCGCCGCTGTTGCACATACTGCTTCTCCGCGTAACTCGCACGCGCGTTTTTTGCAACAATTTCATTACCAGCATTCGGTGATGGCTTGTACCCGCGTCCCGAATGCATACAGATGTCGTGTGTGTGCACTGAGAGAAAAAAAAACATGGTAGGTTCGACTAAAATTAACCTTAACGCCAATCGCATATTTCCTAATTGTTCTAACAGGAAAATGGTAATAATGACATGCATACACATATAAGGTTATATCACCAACATCATGGTGGAATTTAACTTTCTATTGCTCACTGTGACTCTGAAATCACAATCCAGTTTCATCATTATTGATCTCCAATATGAATGTTGTTCTTGTTTTGATCGATGCGAAAGTGACAATATGGCTACCTTTTTTTAGTATGTTGACAGAGATAATAATTGCCCAACGTGACTTCAGAGTCACAAACCTATTTTAGGAAAATAAAAAAATAAGAAAAATTTTGCCTTATATGTGTGTTGAATACTTTACTTTTAAACATCCTGTAAAAAATTCTTTAAACATGAGATATTAATTTGGGCAGTAGAGGGTTAATAAAACATAATTTCCTTGTGTGACCACAATTTGTAATAGTTATTTCTCTATATGCGATTATTATTGGATATCAAACATTTTTTTCTTTCTCAGCGCGCTATTACGAAATATACTATGCGGGGATGCCGTTTATGAACAAGTCTTATAATTACTTGCGTCATTATGTCGCCAATAAGCGGGCTGTAATGGGTTTCCTGCATTTTACAGAAACTTTCATCGCAACAGAGTGTTACGCGCATACGCTAACGCATACGAGCTCATTACGAATCTGTTATCATACAGTTACATACGGAGTACGTCGATATGTCGCGATTATCGCGCCGAGCGATAATGAGACGGCGAACGTTGTCGTTTGGAGCTAATTCCGTCGTTTCGGCAAGTGCACGCGCTAATTCTTTCGCTTTTATCACGCGGAACCAGCAACAGCGAGTTTACAGCCGCGTCCGAGCGGTACTTTATCGCGATTTGTGAGCGATAACATCGCGCGAGATGTTACGTATAATCGATCCTGGATTCGCACGCGATCGTATTTATTAGTAATCGTTTAGAGCCGAAATCCCTCGATCCGTTTATCACTCACGAATATGCGTTGGAAACGCAAAATCGATATATAAACACAATGAGACGGTTCTCGGTATCTTTATAAGGCAGACAAATGTGTCTACTTCACACAGGCTCGTGCTGCGACTATAATTTGTTATAATGTGTGGCCGCACACGCGCGCTTATGTAAAGACGCTTTCAACGTGGACTTTTCCTTCGACACCGAACGATCTTCCCGATATTTTACATAAATTTGCATTTCCAACGTTCGGTGTGACACGTTCACTGGCCGCTGACCGACACGTGGGTCGGTCGCAGTTTCGAGACTCCAGAGTCCACGAGGACCAAATATGGATACCTGTTGTTAACGAAAAGCTCACCGTTCTCCGGTGCACTCGGAAAAATGTTCTTGCAGTCGTAGCGAAAATTGCCTAGATATGGCAAATCAGCAAAGATAGATGAACGACTGGCAAATCGATGCGATGTCACATATGGATTGTATCTAATCGATACAGGTGACAGAATTGACATGTAAACTATTTTGTTTCCGTGACGTCTATTTAGGTTGAGATTAGTCACACTTCTTGTTCAAAATTGATTGCAAATATCGCTAGAATACTGCTGCTGCCGCAAATTCTACGCGCCACAATTTTCTAATAAATATAAAAAAAAATAAAACAGTGATAGATTTGAGCTGTGACATTTAGGTATGTATGTGACATTTAGGCGATGTATTCGGTCTCTTGATGCACTAAAAACTAAATCATATATCTGCCTTTGTCTGATTTGGAGGAAGAACAAAAACAGAAATGACATAACTGTTAGTTACAAAAGGTCGGAAAAATCGGTCCTTAGAATTCTAGTTGGACCAACGAAAGCTTTTTCCGAGCGATGGAGAACAAAGCGCAACAGAACAGCGCACAAAAGCGAGACGCAGTTAATGCTACGATAATAAATGCACTTGAAACGGGACTCACCTTCGAGCTTCATGCCGACGTCAAGGCATTTCTGGAAGCGGCAGTAGGGACACCGTTTGCGCTGCGTCTTGTCGATGTGACAGGATCTCTCAGCGACGCACGTGTACACCTTTTTGTTCTGGACGGTGCGCTTGAAGAAGCCCTTGCAGGACTCGCAGGTGAGCAGTCCGTAATGATAACCGGACACTTTGTCGCCACACACAGGACACAGCTCTTCGATGACGATGTCCTTCGTGTCGGGGAAGTCGGACGGGCATGGTATCGAGCCAGTCACGACACCGACTCCGACCTGGCTCAAGCCAGGATGGCAGAGGGTACCGGCGCCGGCGGTCGGTACCGCGACGTTGCCGCTTCCCGCGCCGGGTCCGCCGCCGCCGCCGCCGCCGCCGCCGCCGCCGCCGCCGCCACCACCGGCGGCATTGCCCGATGCGGGTCCACCGCCGGCGGCGGCAGTACTCGCCCCGCCGCCGCTACCACCGCTGCTGTTGCCGCCGCCACTGTTGCCGGCGTAACCGCCGCCGTTGCCGCCGTTACCTTCGAGGCCGGTGGACGCGCTGGCTGCGTTGCTGCTTCCGGCTCCTGTTGACGAGAACAAGCACGTGTACACCTTCTTGTTGCCGCAGGCGTTGCTCTCGAGAGCCGAAGACGCACCGCAGATACCGTTACCGCCGTTGCCGTTGTTACTATTGCTACCACCACCACTACTACCACCGCCGCCGCCGCCGCCGCCGCCGCCACTGTTACTACTACTACCACCGCCGCCGCCGCCGCCGCCGCCGCCGCCGCCGCCGCTACCGCCTCCGCCACCACCACCCGTAGGTGAGAACAAGCACGCGTAAATCTTTTTGCTGTTGCACGGCGAATTGTTGCGTTTGAAGAAACCTTTGCAAGATTCGCACGTGAGCAGCCCGTACTGATAACCGGACATTTTGTCGCCGCACATCGGGCATCGCTCTTCCAAAGAGGTAGTGGAGTCGAAGAAAGCGGCCTCAAAGCCCGAGATGCCGCCCTGCGACTGTGCCGGATTGTGCGCGGACAGTTGCTGCTGTTGCTGCGACTGGGGCTGCGGCTGCGAGTGGCACATGGCCGACGGCGAGTTCTGCGCGCAATTGCCGTAAGGCGACGAGCCGTAATGCGGCTGTTGCTGTTGAGGCTGCTGCGGAGGCTGTTGCCCGGCGGCCTGCGGGCTGCCTTGCGGGCTCAGGTGGAACGGCGACATGTTCAGGGACATCAAGGCCGAATGCTGCTCCATCTCCAATAACATATCACCCTTGCGCAAGTACCGCACGACGAAGGGACGTGGTGCTCGCGTATCGGCACATGCATGAAACGACTATGTTTACGCTGCCGGATGTGGCCGCTGATGATGATGATGATGATGATGACGAGGACGACGACGACGACGACGACGACGACGACGGCACTCGCACGAGACCAGTGTTCTCTCTTCTCCTGCCGTTCGTGTACTACCACCACGTCGTCTCGCTCTCGACGTAGCTTGTAGTTTCGCTCGCGAGTTGTGCGTCGACTGCACGTTATCGTGCTACTACAACCGTCCATGAAACACGGCCTGATCGCGGCCCGACCCGCAGTTGACGTTTCGATCCGGTGGTCGTGGTTTTATTGGCGGTGACACAAGGACGTCGCGACGACAAAACACCTAAGCGACGATGACGACGACGATGGCGATGATGATGATGATGATGACGATGACGGTGACGACCAAGGGCACAATCCGCCCGAGAAGAAACAGCGTCGCGTGTAACCAGAGGGATCACTCACATGCGCGATTACACACATACACACATACACACACGCGCGTTCACACACTCGGTGTTCCACGTAAATTATCGATCACCAGTCACGCTCTCTGGCACACATTTGTCGAGAAGAACCATCGCGCACCACCGAAACGTGTACTCACGCGTACACGTTTGCGAGCGAACACGCGCGACTACGCGCGAGAGCGTCCCGTTGATGGGAATCGCGCACACCGCGACTACGTTCGAGGCATCATCAGAGTCGTCGTCGATGTCTCGTGGCGGCCGACGATGTCCGAGCGAAAGTGACACACGCCGCTGTCAAAACGGCGATAATCGACCGACACACACCAGAGCAGTGAGTACCCTTCTCGAAAGAGAGAGAGAGAGAGGAGAGAGATGGATAGATAGATTGAAAGAGAGGGACTGCAAGATCGAGACCTCCTTTCCCTGTCGTTCACACTGCAATCCAACAACGTCGTCGTCGTCGTCGTCGTCGTCGTCGAGCACAATGCGGACGGTATGTGTCGCGTATGGTTAACACGTTCGTCCGCGTTCGTTCGAGCAGAGGCGGAGGAAAACACGATTACCACCGGCGACGGGACTGACTGACGGACGGACGGACGGACGATTGTCAACAACGCGCGTCGTGTCTCACACACACGTTTCGACGTATACAGCCGTGTGTATCTCCGAGCAACTCGTAAGCAGTAGACGCGTGTAGGACAGCACAAAAACTGGTCACGACAGGACAGAGAAAGAGAGAGAGGGGGAGGAGAGGAGAAAGTACACGATCCTTCCGCACTCTTCCCGCACTGCAATCCAAATAACGCACCGGCCAGTGAACGAGCGCACGAGTAAGCGTGGAACGAAGCGAACGGATGCGCGCACAATCGACAAGGAGCCGGCCACGTGACCTGACAGCTCGCCTATCTGCGTACGACTAGTTGTCTTCTCGGCTCGTAGCTTTCCCGAAGGGCCCGCCCCCTCCCCTCCGCTGCCCTACCGACGGCACATGGAGTAGGTAGGTAGGTAGAGACCGCCGAGGAGGCCGCCTTCGCGGGACACGGCATACGTGACGTATCGCCGCGCGCGCGCGCGCTCCTAACAACGTTGTCAACGGCGGACCACACGTCCGGATGTATGTGTGTGTTGCACGCCGCTGCGAGCGTCGTGATGCGAGAGGATGATGATGATGATGATGATGATGATGATGATGATGATGACGACGACGACGACGCCTGCCACTTGCTGTTGTCCTCTTGCACCGCGCGCACTCCCGTCGAAATGCAAGGCTTTTTGGCACTGCCAAAAAGCGAAAGAGACTGTCTTCGTTGCGCCGCGAGGCGACACCGTGCTAACGTTTGTTGCGATCACGATAACGACGATACTCGGGTATTTGGGCGAAACCGTGCGCGGAGAACGGTGCCGAGGCGCGCACTACTGTCAAGCTCCTTCGGCGTTTCGGTGGGTATAGAGGAGAGAACGCGCGTGTGTCCCTTTACCGACGGGTTGGAGTCACGAGAAAGAGAAACAGAGAAAGAGAGAGGGCACCGACGATGGTAGCGAGCGAGCGAGCGAGACGCGCGCGCGGAGTATAACCAACACAGCGCACGGCATAAGTGAAAGTGATTCAGCAGCGCATGCCACCGCGCGCGGCCAGGTACCCGACGCGGAGTGGAGGTGCCCGCCTGAGAGGTCCGCTCCGCGGGGAGGGGGGAGTAGCACGCGGTTGCGGTGAAGAGGGGGCAGGCGAGAGCGGGCGGTATTGCCGCGGTCGAAGGTACTTCGGTGGAGGGGCCGGCGAGAAGGAGGTTGCGCGACCGAGATGGCGGGGGATGACCTACTTACGGAACCAGGTCTATGTCGGCCGGAGAAATATTGTCCGCGAGCGTACACGAGAGCGTCGCGCGCGCGCTGCCCGTCGGCGTTACGTCGATTCGCATCTACGTACCACAACCCAGCCACCCACCCACCGTCGCGATCCCGATCGTCGCCGGTGGAGAGATTCTGAGTGATGCCGAAGTGCGCGTGAATCTGGAGAGAACGCTCGGTGACGTCGCCAGCAAAAGAGAGAGAGAGAGAGAGAGAGAGAGGAAGAAGAGTTGTCGCGTGCGATCGGCGAAACATGCGACGACGAGAGCGAGAAAGCGACCGGTCCTGGGCCGTAGTGACGTAAGATGTTCCGTCGCCCGTCCGACCGAATCGGCCAGGACTCGAGCCTTTTTTTCGACTCACCGCTTCTTCTCTCGGAGCCGGAGTCTGCGTCGGAGCCGTAGCGTCGCGCGTTACGCGGGCGAAAGGCGGAGAACGAACGAGAGAGAGAGAGAGAGAGAGAGAGAGAGAGAGTGTGTGTGACTGTGAAAGAGAGAGGAGGAGCGGTAATCGAGCGCGCGCAAAGAGTGACTCTTGCTTTCAAAGTGCACGGGAGAGAGACGTCGCGGGTGTATGTCGGCTGGTAGAAGCGTCACACGGGCTACGTACGAGCCTCGGCTGGGTCAACAGTAACGCCGTTGGCACTCCCCGACGGTGCACTAGCGCCCGCCTGTGTGTATACGTGCCGGTAGATGTGCGACGCAGAGCGCGGTGGGGAGACCTACTGACCCAGTTCGTTGAGAACATGACGCAGCCGCGCGCAACTCGCTCCCTCTCGTTGTGTATACCTCTCTCTATCTCTGTTTTCTGTCTCTTTCTTTCTTTCTTCCTCCATCCCGCCTATTTCGCTCCCTCTCACGCCCGTCACCTCCTCCGCCCACCTCCCTCTTCGTCCTCTCCTGCCTCCCCCTCATCTTGTCCTGCTCTCACACCCTGCGTCGTGTATATCGCCGTCTCGCTCGCAGACCCTGTCCTTACCTTCCACGCTCGTTCCGTCTCTTTCTCTCTCTCTCTCTCTCTCTCTCTCTCTCTCTCTCTCTCTCTCTCTCTCTTCCTCCGTACTGTGCGTACATCTTTCTTTCTCCTCCACCCTCCCGCCCTCCGCCTGTCTTCTCTACCCGCGTTTCGCGCGCGTACTCTGCTCTTCGCGAAAAGCCGCGCGATGCCTACTCTTTCTTTCTTTCTCCCTCTCTCTCTCTCCTTTCTCTCGTTCGCTTCCTCTCGCTCTCGAGAGATCGCTCACTCTCACTTTCTCTCTTCCTCGCACGCTGTGCCGTCTCCTCCTCCTCTCCCTCCTCCCCCCCTCTCCGCCATTCCTCATCCAACCGACTCATTTATTCAGTCGGTACTCTCACACTACTCTTTCCCGTATAAGTGACCGAGCATTCCTGCCGTAACACAACGTGTACATACGCACGAGCGGGCGAGCGCGCGCACGTGCGTCGATGAATACACCGCCGCAGCAAGTATCGCAAGCGTGTGTCACCATCGTTGTCGTCGCATCGGGTGCACCAGGTTGCGAGCTTGAGCGTTACACGGCATGTTGTGCTCGGCATGCTCCAAGCTAGAATTTTCACAGTCGTTCGCTCGTTCGCTCGCTCGCTCGAGAGATTCTCGACCGGAAGCGTCCGTCGAACAACGGACTTGGCGACAAAGGTCCTCGGCAACAACCGGAAACTCATAACGCACCTTCTAAATGTCCACGTTGAGAAGCCGCATTACGAGTATCTCGATGTCGTGAACATGACGGAGAGCCATTTTTATGAAAAATCTCAACAAACGTAAAAACGCTCGATTTGAGCGTTTGTTCGTAACTATAATAGCCCTGAACTGCAACACGAAGAGAGCATGGAGAGAGCTTGGCAAAGATTTGCACAGTACAATCGACAGAAGTGTAATATTTGAAAAATTGAAAAATCAAGACGCCAGTGAAGATGAGCGGCACGGTCGAAGCGTAGGATAGTTTGCGAATTAATGATTAAGAAACGAGACTCATGGCAAAAAAAATGCGCGAGTCCGCTCTTTCCTCCTGCTAATTCACGCGATCTAAATCTAAACTCACGTTTGGGCAGCGTGCCCAAACGTGCCACGAAAAAATATCTAAAAAATAAAAGTATATTTATTCAGTAGTACTAAAAGAATAGCACATTTACTTAAATTCTTTCTAATTTTCTTCTATTGAAAATATTGCGTGTCAGCATAAGCAAATATGTTATTAGTACCCATCGAATAAATGTTTTTATTTTTCAGACAGACGAATATGGGGAGGTTTTTTAATATGGGGAATTACATTTCTGATCATCACGATGTAATGCGCGATCTATGAATTGCCTTCAAAACTATTCTACACACAGTGGTCCCTTTCTATGTTAAGCACATTAGTGTCTAGCGAGCGAGTGACGGATATAGTAGATGTGCTGTTTTTGTGCTGCCCAGAATATTTTTTCATGCAGAATATCTTTTCATGCTTTCACAAGATTTACTGTAACTTATGTAAAGTAAGTTATGTTAAGGTTATTGTATCATAGTCATATAAGTACATTTTTGCGTTGAAGAAAAGAAAAGAAAAGAAATAATGTTTCCAACATTCGTTTCATTTTAATGTTTCTTTTCTATTCTGAAATTTCAA